GTTGCTGGTTCATTCCCCAGACTACAATGGCAAAGGCTGGGCCTGGCTGCCCGGAGCTCAATGCAGGTCTCAGAAATAGGTGACAGGGACCCAACCACTTGAGCTATTACCAGCTACCTACCAGGTTTATGAGCTGAAATTGGGAATCACAGCCAAGATGTAAACTCAGGTACTCCAATATGGAATGCAGGTGTCTTAAGGAGTATCTTAACTACTAGGCCAAATGCTCACCCCAAGATAACACATCTTCAAAAATACTATTTTGCTTACGCTTTGACTATTTCTTAATATTTCTATTAAAATTAGGTACAGATTTTACTTTTGCAGGTGTTACATGAGGAAAACAACTGAAACAATTAAAAGTAAGCCAAAGAACCCTTTCACTAAACTATTCTTTATACTTCCATAAAAGACCAATTGCCATCTTCATTGACAAATTTGCCTACCCTTCATATGGAAAGAAAATTTGTAATGAGAATGCTAAGCACTTTAATTTTAAATGTCTTGTTTCTCTCGGATGATGGATGGTCAGTGCTAGTCAATAAAACACAAACAAAAACAGATTTCAGCCAAAAGTGGATGGTGTACTCTACAAGATATGCTGAATGAATGCCTTGATTGCTGATTCCTCTGGACTATATACTTGAATTTCCTTCTCTGGCACACTGTAGATGGTATTGCATTCCTCTTACATTGTTCAACCAGAGAACATAACCCAGCCAAAAGGCATTCACGTGAGTCTGACTTGTCTCATGCCATCTTTTCTTCTCTGAAGAAATGTTTAGCAGTACAAAGAGAATAAAAAAATCAATAAAGACATTCTAAACAGTAGTGATGGAAGTAAATAACATTTCTGACTAATGAGCATTTCGCGAACAATTGGAAAATCAGACTAACCTAAAAATGATGTTACAAGACATTTTTAAAATTTTTTTGAAAAAGCATTATTCTATTTGCCAAATTAAGGTAAATAAAACAAATTTAAGACCTAGGTACAGACTATCCTTCTTACATTTATTTATCTTAAATAAAGTAAAATATATGAGGGAAGAGAAGATGTAGGATGATGCTGGTTTGTGTTTTAGGAAAGAATTTCACCCTCCTTGGAGCAATACCACATAATCCTGCAACAACATTTTGCAACTATTTCTTTTCCAGTTCACTGGGACTAAGAAATAATATGAAGAATTTTTACATGAAGATTTTTAAGAAAAAATTGAATATAGGCAGAATGTAAATGGTGATCTCAGATGAAAGCACAAACAGAAGAAGATAATGTATTAAGCATAATTGGGAAGCGAGACAGAACCCAAAAGAAAATGATCTGTTAAGCAAACAAACAAGGTCAAAACAGAAGCCCTAGAGTGAAAAGGAAGTGGGAATGGTGGTCTCACAAACAGGTAGATGATAGAATTTTCAAATCAACAGAGTATCTGATACTAAAATATCAAAACTACCTACTTTTCCTTTTTACAGCACACCCCTGAGACAGTGCATAAAATATTTAAGCACCTCAAGATGGAAAAGCTTTGCAGATCAATTCAATTCAGTTTGGTTCTTTGGGAACTTGCTTCTGATTACCATTGCTAAAATCTGCCAATAGAAGTTACATTCTCTTATACTTAGCCTTTTTAATCCCCATTCTGTACTCCTGATTAAAGTAGTATAGATAAAAAAAATTACCAGGTTGAATTTGGTTTTACAATACCTGTGATAGATCAATCTCAAAAATGAAAATAAAATACCAGTAAATGCCATTCAAACTTAAAATCAAATCATTCATGATATGATTTGCACCATAAGTCAGTGCATTGATTGTTTTTCTTCTTAGAAATGGAATACCAATCTGTGTCAGTTTCTCAGTTACCAAAACAAAGGGAAAGGAATAATCAATTTTCATAAAATAAAAGCAAACATAACCACATGTTTTCTGGTATTAAAATCTGACACTCAGATTTGCTTTGAGTTTTAAAAATATTCAAAAATAATTTGAACACACATGTAACACTATACTTATAATGGATTCATGCTCCTCAAAATTGTCAAAGTCAGGACAGGCGTTTGTCCTATTGGCTAAGACACAGCTTGGGAGCCCCATATCAGAGTGCCTGGATTCAAGTCCCAACTCCTCACTTGATACCAGCTTCCTGCTAATGTGCACTCTCAGAGACAGCAGTAACAGCTCAAATAGTTGGGTCCATGCCACCCAAAAGATAAATCTGGATGTTAATAACAGTGGAAACCATATCTACATTATATGGGAAATTTCTGGAAAATCTTTGCAATTTTCTGTAAATTTATATGTGTTTAAAATATCTGTAAATTCTTATATGTATTAATATTATCTGTAAATCCTTATAATTTAATAAAAACATCAATTTTGAAGTTTAGTTTCTAGAGTAACTTATATATCTCTTATTCATTAGAGAGAAAGAATTAATGGTAGTTAAATATATAATATTTAATTTACTCTGGTTTTATATAGAGTTTTTGCACTTGTCTAGTAAAATATTTCTAATATACTTTTGGGGGTAATTTGTTCAACATAACAAATTTTATAGATAAAAATGATAATATAGCACAGGTGTTAACAGGAACAGCTGTGAGGGTAATTGAGAATATGGTTTGAGAATGCATCTGTGACTTGAAGATGTGTTGACCCTTTAATTAAATCAGGAGATGGTCTCGCTTTGGATTTGTTAGGAGAGATGATAACTATTTGTTTTATTTAAAAACAAATCCTAAGAGTTTCCTTTCACTAAAATCATAGGTTCCTTAGTTATCTTACATTTCAAGCAGCTAAAAGGTATTTCTAAGCTAAATATTTCTAGGATACCTACCTCTTAGTGAATCTATTTAACAATGTTATCTCTTGAAAATAGAATGGATATGTAGAATTTATTTATTCTTCAACAGTATTCATGTTTATTTAAAGTTAAGTTTTAAGTCAAACACTTAGAAGATTTTTGTATTTTGCCATCTAAGTCTGTCAGAGAAATAGCCAGGTTATACATGCAAAGAAATATATCATGCATGAGGTAGCTCAATTTATGTGCATTCAAGCTCAACTCTTGCTAATATCCCACTTGCACCTTTCTGGCATTTACAAATGGAAACATTCATTGGACGTATTTTAAGTTGAAATTAATTGAACATTTTAAACTTTTTGAGATAATCATTATAACTCCAAAATTTATTTCCAAAGATACCAATAGGTAACTTTTAAAAATTATTCCACATCACCTGTGAACATTCATTTTTTTTCCATTTTTAAAATAAAAGACTAGAAGAGGGTCTGCTAAAATTCTGATTGAATTTTTATGTGGTTCAGTGCTAACCCACTATTTGAAATTGTACTGAATAATTGTTTTAAAAGCAAGTATCTTTGATCTTCTACAGATCATTATACTTACATATTATCCATCTAACTGTATGTCAGTAATTATCATTAATATAAGCTTTCTTAAAATCTCTCAAATCATTATGGCTCCCTTACAATATTGTCAAAACTATGAGGTATAAATACCACAAAGAATTCTGTTTCTGTAGATAAATGTCTCCTCTGCTTAGTGTCTCCTGTCCTCCATTATTATTTTCAGTGTTCTTGTGCTTTTTAATATCTAAGTAACAGGCTCCTTGAAAGTTCATTAAAATCTTGTGACTTTAAATAACAACTTTAAATTGTATCATTGGCATAGTATTCATATTTTATACTGAAATTAAAATGTAGATGTTAAGTTTAACTGCATATTAATATATATTTAAAAGTATCTTAGTTTTACTCTGCTCACAGTCCCTTTCAATTTAGTGTGCCTAATTTATCTGCTCCTTTTTTTATTCTCCAAATTTCCTGCTACACTTAGAAGCTCACTCTAGATTCCTTTGGCATCTTCTTCTTTCAGTGAAACTCATAAATAAAATATAGTACACTTTATCTATTAAACATGTTAAGTTATGGGTGAAATGTCATGCTTGCTAGGAAAGCTATTCCTCACTGAAGAGATTATTTATTAATTATGAAAGAAAGCGTTTCTTTGAAATGAGGAAATCTGCAGATACTGCTTTAACCAAGGGACCAAACTTAGCAACACCAATAGTGGAGCATAATGACATCGTAGGCTTCTGATGGTGCACTACGAGTGCAAAATACCTCTATGGCCAAAAAGGTTTTATCAAATCTAATAATGGGTAAATATAGTAGCAAGACCACACTGAGGAATGCAACAAAACAAGTCACCTGACTTCTTCACCAATATAAATATCGTGCATGAAAAAACAAATCCTGAGAACTACTTTAGATTTAAAGAGATCATAGGAACATAAATGGAATGTGTGGTCTTTGATTAGATCAGTAGTGCCAGCAATTGCTGGAAAAATTAAGAAAATAAATATACCCCTATAAATCCCTGTTCATTACTGTATATCATATCTTATTAATATAAGAAAACAGAACAGAAAATATTACAGCTATAATTGACCAAAAGTAATTAAATATTACAGAAAATTGTAAACATGAGTAAAGAGAGTTAAATACTAAAACTATAAAAATACTATATATAGAGTTAAATCTATAAACATGCATATATAAATTGATATACATATATTAATGCACACAAGTATTCCACATTCATTTACAAATATAGATTTTTTTCATAAACATGGATTTTTCTGCTCTCTTAAGTTTGAAGACATATAATTTGAATCTTATTTTTCTCTTCTTTTTATTTCATAACCCAATGAAGAACTATAGTTACACCAAAGTGTATAGAGACAATGTGGTTAAAGCTGTATATATGTATTGAATTTAGTTTAAACTGCATATATGTACTGGGTGATTGTAAACATTACCTGAAGTGAGAAAGGTAAAGTAGTTAAAACAATTACTCCCTTACATTGAATTATACTTATTTTGATTATCAGTTGAGGTTCAGATAATTTTTATGCTTTAAGAACAGAATGGTACATGTTATTTGATGTTTTCATAATTCACTTATGTTTAGGTTGCTTGGAGTTAAAGGAAGACACTATTGAAAATCTGCTGGCTGCAGCATGCCTTCTTCAGCTCCCTCAAGTAGTAGAAGTGTGCTGCCACTTCCTCATGAAGCTTTTGCACCCATCTAACTGTTTAGGAATCAGAGCATTTGCAGATGCTCAGGGATGCATTGAGTTAATGAAGGTGGCCCACAGCTACACAATGGTAAGAAAATTTAATATTTTAGTATGAGAGATATACAGTATACTTTTTATTATGAGATATAGTATACCTCACAGTATTTTATAATTTCAAGTGAAAAAGTATACATAGAGATTTTCATTATTGTTTTTGTCCTTATTTATATCTTGCAGACAATACAGATACTAATATTGATGGGATTTAATTTTTTATTTGTATTGATTTTATCCTTTTAACAACAATAAAATCAACATAATTTGGGGGTACAATGTGATGATTCAATGCATGTAAACATTGTGTAATTCCTATTCAGGATAAGTATGTCTATCTCCTCAAATATTTAGCATTTCTCTAGTTACAAATTTGTGTCACTTGAGAGGCAGGCAGAGATGGAAAGACAGAGAGAGAAAGAAACAGACAGATGCAGAGTCTTCATCCTCTGGCTCAACTTCAAATGCCCACTGTGGCCAGAGCTGGCCTGGTATCAGAGTGAAAAGCCAGGAAATCAATACAGGTTTCATGCATGGGTGGCAGGGAGCTGATTATCAGCTCCATTAGCTGCTGCCTTGCAGGGTCTACACTGGTGGGAAGCTGGAATCAGGAGTAAACTGGGAGTCAAACCCTGAAACTCAAATATGGAAGTCAGGTGTCTTAATCTCCAGGTCAAATGTTTGTTCCTCAATTCTTAATTATTTGAAGCAGATTTATTTTGTTATGTCCACTTCTATAGCTGCTACTTTTTTTGTATTTTTCTGAATTTTTCTTTCAATCCCTCCATCATACCATGTTGTATTTGGCATGGATAGGACTGTGCGATTTGTGGAGAAAATGATCTTAAAGTTATACTATATATTGCATAGCATTTATTTGTATAATCAATGTTAGATGCTAGAAATCCTGGGAGCTTCTTTATTAAAGGAAAATATTCATATAAGTGATGCAATTGTTCTGTGTTTTATAAGCTTAATTTTCTGTAGCATTTTCATGATTCAAAAGTTGAAACTGAATGACTATCACTTAGTAAGCCTATTATATATTTTTCTTTGATTTTCTTCCCATATGCATATGTATGTATCTTTAATAGCTCCATAAAGATTGTAGAAGACATTAGAATTGTATACTTTAAATGCATGGACCTTATGGTGTGGCTTTTTTACATTATTTTAATTCTAGAGGAAACAGTTACCTATAATATTTCATGTACAAGAAGTAACTATTCTAAAATCAGTAAATATAGTTCTTGGTATAAGCTCTATATATATGTTAGTCATTTTTTCTAGTATTATTAATGTTATTAATATGTTGAATGTTATTATTAAAAAGCCAGCAGTGAACTATTATAAAACTTTTATTTTCCAGCTCAAAGAAATAATTGATATAAGATATGTCTTAAGTTTTATGGTTTTTATTTACTTTAAAACTCCTATCATCAAATTTAATGGTTTTGAAATCACTAATACAAATCAATCACTTAAAAGTAGTTGCTATTCTTGAACAGTTTCAATATTATTTTCATTTCATTCTTTAATCTCTTAAGCAGATTAGTAAATTAGATGAAAGTATAAAAATGAAAGGAAGTGGATATATGATATGTAATTGGATTGACAAATCCTTCTTTAGAAATATTCCATGAAAGGGTATGGTTGTTCTTTTGAGATAATATGAAGCATAAAAAATCAATATAAACAAATACTTCAACAACCAAAATACCAAAGTTTAAATTCTGTCACTTAATTAGGCACATTTCATGACAATTAGGAGCTTCTGTCTTAGTTAAACAAAGGAACAATATGAGCCCCTATCCAGAGGGATACTAGTCCCTTCTGGTCTAGTTTGAAATTATTAATTTAGTAAATAAAAATGCTTTCCTAGCAGCTGCTTGGACTGTTCTGCAATCTGTCAGATAGTAGCAAAGATATATTCTCTTTAGAGCCTTACAGTACATATTCTACAAGAAAATATACTTAAAATATAAATATGGAAGGGTTCTAGTTAGCACACTCTATGTTCTGAAGGGCTTTTTGTTATTTAATTTTGAGAATTGTGTCAAGGAGATTTATTGACTGATTATTTTCATAGAGCTCTGTTTCTATCACGTTGAGTGGTTCGCATCTGATATTATCATTTCTCATACATATTTGCCACTGATCCTTGTCTAATCAGGCTTCTGTTCTCACCTAATTTCTATAATCTATGCTTTTAAAGCTAACCTATGTGTTTTATTTTCTTTTTCTTCTTGGCTGGTTTAGTAACAAATCATCTCATATTAGCTTCTTTATTGGCTTCAACTGTTTGGTTCACTGTTTAGTACATAAGTAACTTTTTTTTTTTTTTAGTTTTTGACTTTCTTACTAAACTATTTATTTATTTTAAGCAGTGTCTGCTGGAGGGAATTTTTTTTTAAATTTTATTTATTTATTTGAAAGTCAGAATTATACAGAGAGAGAAGGAGAGGCAGAGAGAAAGAGGTTTTCCATATGCTGGTTCACTCCCCAAATGGCGCAATGGCCAGAGCTAGGCTGATCCGAAGCCAGGAGTCATGAGTTTCTTCCTGGTCTCCCAAGGTCTTGGGCCATCTTCTACTGCTTTCTCAAGCCATAGCAGAGAGCTGGATTAGAAATGGAGCAGCCAGGACTTGAACTGGCCCATATGGGAAATCAGTTCTGTAGGCAGTAGCTTTACCCATTACGCCACATTGCTGGCCCCTACTAAACTTTTTAGATACAAACTGCATCTTCAAAGGACCTTAATTGCTGTCTATGTTTCCTTACGATTTATATGATTTCATAGCTTTCCTTTACAGATTTCATTCACTTATTTGGCTTCAGCTATTGATTTTATGCAAATGATTCCAAAATCTATTCAGGGAATGTGATCCAGCTTTGCAGTGGTTCATGTGCAAAATACTGAAAAAATCTGATAGCAAGCCTTGGGAAGAAGTGTGAAACTAATTCTAAAACATTGATTTAAATACTGGCTGCATGAATTTACAGACTGCACCAAAACCATTGTGGAAAGCCATCCTATTGTGCTCTATTAGATTTCATTATGAGACTGGTGCTTAAATCTGGATATCAAAGTTAAAAAACAGTAGAGAGTAACAAACAGAACTAAGTGAGAATAACAAAAATGGTCAATTTTTTAAAGATTTATTTGAAAAACAGTTACAGAGAGAAGTATACACACACACACACACACACACACATACAAAGATGCAACACACACAGAGAGACAGAGAAATCTTCCATTCCCTGGTTCTTCACCAGATGGCTGAGCATCTGGGGTTGGGTCAGGCCATCATCTGAGTCTGCCATGTGGGTGGCAGGGAATCAAGTACTTGAGGCATCTTCTGCTGTTTTACCAGACAAATCAGTGGGGAGATGGATAGGAATTGGAGCAGCTAGAAATTCAGCTGGCTCTACAATGCCAGCCCTGGTAAATCTTTTATAATCATGTAACCTGAAGAAATGTTGAAAAGACCATTATTGTCTGCAATGAATAAAGTAATACATGGATAATTAGGGTACCTTTCTCCCCACATCCTTATCAGCATTTGTTGATTATTGAGTTCTGTATGAGAGTCAATCTAACTGCAGTGAGGTAAAACCTCATTGTGGTTTTGACTTGCATTTCCTTGATGGTTAGTGATCCTGAGGATTTTAACAAGTGTCTGTTGGTCATTTGAATGTCCTCTCTTGAAAAATGCTTATTCAAGTCCTTTGCCCATTTCTTAACTGGGTTTGTTTTGTTATGTAATTTTTTGAGCTCTTTATAGATTCTAGGTGATAGCCCTTTATCAGTTGCATAGTTTGCAAATATTTTCTCCCATTCTCTGAGTTGTTCTTCACTTTGGTGAGTGTTTCTTTTGCAGTGCAGAAGTTTCTAAGCTTGATATAATCCCACTTGTCAATTTTGGCTGCTTTTACCTATGTGTCTGGAATCTTTTCCAATAAGTCTTTACCTATACCAATGTCTTGCAGTGTTCCCCCAATGTTCTCTAATAATTTGATGGTATCAGGTTGTAGGTTTACATCTTCGATCCATTTTGAGTACATTTTTGTTTAAGGTGTGAAGTATGGGTCTATTTTTTTTAAAGATTTATTTATTTATTTATTTATTTGAAAGTCTGAGTTCCACAGAGAGAGAAGGAGAGGCAGAGAGAGAGAAAGTTCTTCCATCCGATGGTTCACTCCCCAGATGGCCACAATGGCTGGAGCTGTGCCTAGCCGAACCCAGGAGTCAGGAGTTTCTTCTGGGTCTCCCATGTGGGTGTAGGGGCCTAAGCACTTGGGCCATCTTCTACTGTGTTCCCAAGACATAGCAGAGAGCTGGATCAAAAGTGGAGTAGCCATGACTAAAACTGGCACCCATATGGGATGCCAGCACTGCAGTTGGCAGCTTTACCTGCTATACCACAGTGGCGGTTCCTCTATTTTCATATTTCTAAAATATGGAGATCCAGTTTCCTAAGCATCATTTCTTAAAGAGAGTATCCTTGCACCAGGGATTGATTTTATCTCCATTTGTCAAAGGTAAGTTGGTTGTAGATGTGCAAATTGATCTCTGGAGTTTCTACTCTGTTCTATTGGTCTACAAGTCTGTTTTTGTGCCAAAACCAGCCTGTTTTGATTATAACCTCCCTGTAGGTATTGTGATGCCTCTGGCTTCAATTTTGTTGTATAAGATTGATTTAGCTATTCAGGGTTTCTTATGTTTCCATATGTATTTTAGCATTTTTTTTTCTAAATCTGAAAAGAATGTCATTGGTATTTTGATTGGGATCACATTGAATCTATAAATTTCTTTTGGTAGTATTGACATTTTGATGATATTGATTTTTCCAATCTATGACCATGGAAGATTTTTTTCCATTTTTAATGTCTTCTATTTCTTTCTTTAGTATTTTATAATTTTCATCATAGATATCTTTGACATCCTTGGTTAAACTTATTACAAGTTATTTAATTCTTTTTGGAGCTATTGTGAATGGGAATGATCTTAAAAGTTCTTTTTCAGACATGATA